TAGGTGGTCCATTTCTTATCTCATGTTTGTGTTTTATGAAGGCATTAACACATTCACGACGACGCCCCTTTTCCACTTTTCGGTCGCGTGGGACGGACGCGATTTTGTGGGCGCCGCCGCCTCACCACATAACCGCAGATTTTGTTTTGTAAATGAACAAAAACATGAATGTCACAAAATAATTTCTGCAATGTCCAATGCGTAAAGATTATCTAAACATATAACAGTAGGATTTCGATCAGAACGACAAATAGTGGTTACGAAAAGAGAGCATTTATTCACTTTCCCCGTGAAGGAATTTAAAAGCATTTTACACTCGATTACGAGGTTTGCCCACCTATCTGTCCATTCCTAGCGCCTGGCAAGCGATTATCAGTTGGCAGCCCATATGGGCTGCCATCGTCCCAGGAGCGCATGTTGTTGGCAGCCCATATGGGCGGCCATCGGCGTGAATGTGTTAATACCCCTTACTACTCAACCGCTTCATGATAGCGAAAAAAAGAAATATGGCGTACTGCAGAAATAGTGGGATAGAAGTCGAGGGATTCCTCGCTATCACTCGCAATTCGCTGCGTCTCAATTCAAATAAATAAAAAGTAGACTAGTTGGGAGTAATTGTAGGGATTCAGAATTAATTGAAAGGATTTTTTATGGCGGCAAAAAGCAGAGGATATAGTAGCACCGATGAATGAAAAATATGGATATAAGGGTATGAAATGAAAAAACACATTTTTCGCAGAGCTATTAGCCACTGCATCATCCAAAACAGCTGATAAAGCAGTTAAACGCATCAATAGGAGACGTCACTGGAAAGGAGTCAAGTAACCAGAGGGTTGCTCAATTTCACTGAAGCTTTGCGAGAAATAATTTGCTGGAAAGAGGAAAATTTGGAGCTATGCTAAACTCCTAAACAACTGAATAAATTCTTTACCTTTAGGCATCACATTTCCATTCCCTTTTAGTAAAACCTCTACACTTTGAAAATGCCATTAGTAAATTATTATATTGCCAGTATGCTTGACTAGTACGCACAACTTCCCTTATCAATGCTAAGAAGAGCATTTCTTGAAGAACTACCTATTCCCAAATTTTGACTAGAAAATCAAACCCTTTCTACAATTATAATGCATAAAATGGTGTAATACCTATCCGCACTAACCATATAATGTTACCCGTGGCAATGCAAAAGAAGTAGGGGGCACCCGGATTTGAACCGGGGACCTCTCGATCTGCAGTCGAATGCTCTACCACTGAGCTATACCCCCGACGTTCGCTTTCGTGTGCGAACCGTTCTCGTATTCGCAGCAAACAATTGTATCACGGGAACGGCAATGCACTAACAAAGAATGGAGCAGAAACCTTGATTGGATTCACGGGTACAGGTGTTCCAGCTGGGTGTGAAATCGGTTCCATGTGGAAGTCGAACGTGCTGTACTCGGGCAACGCATCAATCAGATAGCTGAGATCGTTGTCCAAACGTTTTTCCAACTTGAGTGTCTCAATTTTTCGTATTGTCGGGTTATACAGATCATACATTACTTCAACACCTAAATTAATGGATAAAAATGACCTTATCCTGACTGAAGCGGGAGACCTTGCATGAAGCTCTTACCAATTCCATCAACCACATTTCTGAGAGTGAACTGATGATGCAGACCTTCCTTCTCTCTACGAATGCAAATTCCAACAAAACGATGTTCTTTGCTACCCAGACTCTTCTCAGAGGTGGTTACGGCAACAATGGAACCTGAAGAGCGTAATTTCTGAGAGGAATCTTTTTATAATTTCTGAGAGGAATCTTTTTATCATGAAACTGCCGCTCTCATCTGTGTAAGAGAAACATATTACTAAATAATGATTGATCAGCACTGGAAAAAGTGGCGGGGTTTCAACGAATGAAAAACTGTTAGACGCGTTTATTTCACCTGTAACATAAGTATGATTTTTTACACTTCGCTTCGAAAACAGATCTTCCTATCAGTGTTCTGCATTAGTCTTTGCATTTGACCAAAAAAGATCTCCTTGCCACAGCTTCGCCCCGATCATTTCTGTCCAGTAAGTAAGAATTGAAAAGATAAATAGTAGGGACGGTAGTTGACAGTTCCCGCTCCTTTAAAAGAGTCGTTCATGTTGAACAGGCATTGGGACGAAAAAAAGGAAGGAAATATACATATTGAATTCCTACGACAGTGCCGCACTATGGGGTGAGTTGTTTATTGGGCATCCAAAAAGCTCACCCTATTTCTTTGGCTGCTTCATAAAATTTATAGTCACTCTGGTCTCTAATTATGATTTGACTACGTCTTTTTAAGGCAATCACAAACTGAGAAATCCGCAATTTTACGATTCCGCGTTTCGAAGTACGCCGGAATTGTGCACGAGAATCCAAATGTTTAGAATGAAATTGGAACAGCTTCCTTTCAGGCAATTTACGCTTCTTGAAGTTAAGGCTTAGGATTAATCGTAAGTAGAGAAATTAGTTGACCCGCTATTCGCTCACCACGGTAGCAACTCCTCTTGATAGTACACTATCCACGCTTAAAATGGCGAGGGGGAAGGGGGGGGGGTGTGGACAGCTGATTTCTCGCGTGACTCATTCACATTAACGTTTTAGTCTACGCGTATCACATGTTAACACGTTGACGACTGTCGTTGTGCGCGTACTACTTCAACGTTTTTCGTATTCTCTCATGTATAGGCCATCAATCCTTTAGCGTTTTCATTATCAGTAATGAAGAAATAGTTTTTCGGATTCAATAATGTACATGGACCGTTGTGGAACAGGAGAAAACACCAAATAAATTAAGGAGAACTAGTCTGCCCCATGCGAAAGTGTGGTATGACATCATAAAACACGGTCGTCAACGTGTTAATAACTACACGCTTCAACTCTTCGTCGAGGCGATTCAGGGACCACCGGTCCACCCCTGCAATGTTCTATTCAGCTTCTTTTGATTGGGATGCCCGAGCGTTGCACTAGCGAATCGAGCTGTGTACCAGTGGATCGAGCTGTGTGCCAGCGGATAGAGCGATGTACCAGCGAATCGAACGATGTACCAGCGACTTAACAGTTTTAAAGTGGCGGAAACCAACGTTCAAAGGAAGTTCCACCAATTTCAAAGAGTGTCGAGTCGTTGGTACATCACTCGTATCGAGCAATTCGCTAGCGGATCGCCAGATTTTCAAACTCTGACTCGGCCTCATGTGGGCTAACAAGATTACGAAGAATGAAGATGATAGCATCACCATCAATCCTCATTTGCTGACTCAATCGGATGGTATCTACAAAACACACTCGTCTGTCACCAGCTTTCGTTCCCTGTAAATTGCATCGCATAAAACATCCGAACAGCGTAGCCGAAATAACTACTAATACCATGCAGATTCTCTGGAAGTTTCTCCTCTCATTGACTGTCACTGAGCTCACTACAACCTGACTGCTCGACCAGGGTCAAGCGAGGCGTCGAGGAAAATTCGGAAATACGACCCCCCCTCCCCCTGCTGCCGAAGGCCGAAGTCCATGAAACAACCCTCTTTAAAAGCCGAACTATGAAAAAGTTGTTTAATTCTCCACCAAAACTGCTCATAAAAAAGCCCTGCTACCCCATCGTCCACAAAAAAACTCGTTTAAAAAGTATAAAAGTGAAAAAGTCAAAGAATGATCATTAATGACGAGTCCTGTCAAACGAGCAAACGAGAAACGGAGCAAAAAACGTCAAACTAGTCACTAGAAATGGCGTACTATGACAACACCTCTTCTTTGTTTATTTCCTCCACAAGACTTACCAAATTCTAGTACTACACAGATTATGGTTCTCAATTTACACGTCCCCCTTTCGCTCAAAGGAAGCCTTGTAAAAGCCTTCGCCAGCTGTGTGTTGACTGGACTTTGGCGTTGACCGTGGAGCAGCTTATTTACTATTGAAATTTGAACAAATATTCAAATGATTATAACTTTCTTCAAAGTTAACGAATTTTCAATCTGAAAGCTGATTTGGGAGTTTTGTGAAGAGCTTTTTCTAATCAGTACTGAAATTACAGGAAGTTATAAGAAATAACAAATTTAGATCAAATAACGAGGAAAATTCGAGACGAGCACGAGTTTTTACACTTTCCGGAGCAATAACTTGCTTCATTTCCGTCAAATTCAAAAAGTTGATACGTCATACAAAACTAGAAGATTTTCTCTATCAAACGGTCGCTAAAGCAGCTTCATACGTCCAGTACTCAAAAAATGGCCACGTTGAGGATTTTTGCAAAATTAACGAGGAAAATTCGTGATGAGTGCGAGTTTTTACGCTTTCCAAAGCCATAACTCCGTTCAAACTCATGCAATCTGGAAAGTTAATACGTCATCATAAACTAGAAGATTTGCTCTTTCTAAAGGCAACTAAAACTGCTAAATACGTTCACTATTTAAAAAATGGCCACGTTGAGGATTTTTGCCCGAGTACCGCCGAAAGGTACTTTTTCGCTACATTAGCACTATCCCAACGACTATAGCTCCTTGCAGGAGCGATTACATACTGAAGTAGGAGCAGATTCAAAATCCTCGTGCTTTTCTCTCTGCAAAAAGTGTAAAATTGTTTAGCGGGTCTCAACTTTAAAGGTTACATGCTTGTGAATTTGACGCTGAAGGCTGCGTTTCTGAATAGTGTACTCCTCTCTGTAATTTAACATGAACTCTTTCAGAACCCTCTTGATTCTTCCTGAATTAAGATTCGTTATCAAGATAGCCGTAGCTGAAGCGCGCGCAACCAACTGGGCCCACTCTGGGATGCGCCGTGTGCTTCACATCTCGTTGGATTTGAGGACCTACTTGAAAGATAAAATATCCCTAGAAAACGTGCGAATTTCGGATCCTTTGACTTGTGTGGTGATGAAACACTAAAGTCACTAAGAATTGCTAAGCGGACACCTCTAAATCACGAAGATTTTGTGTGGACGGAATCAATTGTTATTGGAAATACTCTGGCCTGGTATCGATTCGATCCTTAATGTTTGTCCTCCGACGATGATCCTACTGTATCAATCGGGCCCGATCTCTCCCCAGCGGGCCAATACGACCCCCCTCTGTGACATGTCGAGGATTCCTCAACGCACGCTTGACCCTGCCTACGACTATGACGTGCAAGAAAGCTGGGGACGTGCGTTACGCTTCATCAGCTATTAAAACCCCGAAACCAGAAGAGAAATCGCAGAAACACGGCCTTTTTGTTTCACAAACACACGCTTTATATGCAAACTACATTTCGCATTTTTGGAACGATCCTGGTCAAGGAATTACTCAATTCGAAAAGCTCCTTGGTCCAAAGAAGCACAGTACATTGCCTCCGAACAACACCGGAACAAGCTCAATAGTGCATACCGACGTAGAACTCTGGAATGTCAATATTCATCCGGCGTTCGAGCATATCCTGATGAACGAGTTCTTCGTATAAAGGATCTCGACGATTCCATACGGGAGATTGAAGGAAATCAGGATAAATAAGCCTAAAACCAAATTACACTCCCTATCTGTCAAAGTATAACAAGCTAGTGTTCACTCACGCAAAGTCAGGTATGTGCTTCAACTCGGCCATTTTCTTTTTCAGATCGCTCTCTTTGCGGCTGGCTAAAGCTGGCTTCGAGGGGCACATCTTGGCCGAGTTTCGGCACGGTAGAAGCTGCGCAACCGCTCCAGTCAACCGAAGCGATGACGGCTTGGCGAGCGAAGCCATCGCTGGAAGTATTCGAAAAATACGGAGCTTTTAAGCAAACACGAGTAGAAGCACGTTACTACTGCGCAAAAAAAAACAGATATTGGCAGGAGACCCGTTCTACAAAAAACAACAAAAACAAAAGTAATTTTATGTACATAACTACTTCGGAAATCGACGACTATGAAAGAAATGTCACATTCTCAGCAACGTTCGAGTACACGCTTCACAAATGACTACAACATCTTGAACAGAAATAGAGTAGGCACCGTCAGTGAACGAAAAACAATAACCATTTCACATTCTGTACAGTTGAAGGTTCTCCATCACAATGGAGAAGCAAATAGTCTAACAACTAGATGAGAATTTAAATCACTTTGTGAAAAAAAGATAAGGTCCATTCCTAGAAGTCGAGAATAGTTATTAAAAAAGATTCTATAGACTATTTTCTTTGTTCAAAACGCCAAGTTAATCGTTATGAGTTCATGATGGAAAAAAGAAAAGAAAGAAACGGAATTATATATCAACAGGAAAAGGCAGAACACCAAGAAAAATGCAAACAGGTCAAAAATTAATGAAGTCACAGGAGAAGACCCATATTCGGCCCGAAGTAAACCAAAGGCTAAGTATCACATGTGCGCCGTCCTGTACACATTTACCTATTCCAAGTACTCATTTTCCGAACTTGCTAGCGTATACTCTGTCGCTGAAGAAGAATCGCTCTCTGTGTCGCTTTCATTCTCGAAAACCCTGAATCATGGAAAATTTTTAAAGACCATCAAAACACTCTTAAACAAGATGAACATCCTGTCGAAGAAGTCCCCCTACCCCATTCAACGAGCTCCTGGTACGCCGCCTCACGCAAATACGGCCCTCCCATCACGGAGTCTTCGATCACTGTTCTGCTCTAGAAAGTCCAAGAACGAATACTTACTGCTCCATCAACGGCCACATGTCACGAGCTCCTTCCATGGCACGCAGTTCCCTCCATTCCGGATTCCTTTCACGTATTCTTTCACGCTCTGGCGATGCTTCTCTTCTGAACTCTTCGACAGCGGGCTCACTGATAGGGTCCAGCAGTTCCGAGTAACATAGTGGGCACACCTGAAACCAATTACATGGCGACACAGAATTCCCGGAATTGACGCATGCAGACGGGACTGTAAGTGTCTGATTTTTGGGTTCTCTTGGAGCAGGTTCCACAAAGAACCTATGCCGCTCTGTAACTTGGAAAAAAAACGTTGTACGACATCCACAATTAAGCCCCCGCCCCAAAATGCCGTGCCCAAGACCGAAATATTAAACAAATGCGCTACGCAAGAGTGAAGGGCGATGTTAGCCGAAGGGCTTCGAGATTCGGAAGTTCTTACCTGCCTCACAGAGAGCCATTTCCTGAGACAGGCGCCATGGAAGAAGTGCTTGCACGGCGTCACTCGTGCCTCTTCCCACATTTCCATCATGCAAATTGCGCAAATATCGCTTCGAGCTATAACAAGAGCAATTAGTGAAGTGAAGCTCATTAGAATTATTGAAATTTAAAGCTCAAATTGACCACCCAATGTGACACCTTGAGTGTTTCTGAGCACAAGTGCGCATGCACTAATAGCCTGGATGACACATGGCCGTAATAAAGGGGCATTTGAACAGGATTTTTATAGATGAACAAAACACCTTATTTGGAATGCTCATTAAGGAAAACATAGTGAGGTCGCGAGCGTATAAGAACTCAGAAATTTTAGTGAATAAACCAATACGATCACACCTAAAACGCAAAGTCATATCCAAATAACAGTTGACATTCCAAACGTAGCTAATCAGCCGCGAAGAGCTCTAACTAAGTGAAAATGGCTGCGACTACATTCTTCTCGAAAGTTACCATGGCAAAAGGAAAGGTCCTGGCCGGGATCGAACCGGCGACCTTCTGCGTGTAAAGCAGACGTGATAACCGCTACACCACAGGACCCCGCAACGTTGCTGCCGATTGCATGCATTTTGAAATCGGAGCAAACGGATGGCGTAGAACAGAAGAAAACGAGTTGGAAAGATGTTTTTGAAACATGAGATATTACCCGCAGAACTATGGAAGGTCAAGTAACTTATAACCGAGTGTTTTAAGTGCAATGCCGAATTACTTACGCTTCAACTGTAATTGCAGAGCAGATATTCAGAAAACCAGAGTAAAATGAGCGGTTGAAATGACTGAATTCTATGAAATACGACAAAATTTTGATCTAGAGGTTATGTAGAGCGGAGCGGTAGCAAATGCAAAGCCTCTATATGTATTCACAATGGGTCAGTTGGAACAATATGGCACAATTTGAAAAGAAAGTGGAAATGAAAAGTTGCGATATCTATGAGCCCTAATACAAAAAATCGCCCATTTCATGTCCATTGCAGTACCGAGAAATCGCCCACCACTACAGATTCAGCTCTTCACTTCAGCTCTAGCTCCCATGAAAGATGGATACAATGACTCAGATACAGTTTAGCTTTGCGCAGTCACTGTTTGGATGCGTAAGCGTTCGAATCTCCTTACTACTTTGAATAAAGGCCCGCTTACGCGAAGTCGCTCAATGTATCGCGAACAGCGTGATGCACATGGCGAACCACGCGAGTGCTCGTAGGAGGATATCAGTTTGCTTGATTACTTGACTTCTTGAATTCCCAGAATGTAGCTACAAATTCCAATTTGGAGAACAACGCCGTATTCTAACTGAACTAACAAGGAAGATCAATAACTGCTGATAAAAAAAAGGTAGAAAAAGAGCGGCGACACAGGAAGCATAGCGAAGTAAGTTTTTATATATGTTTTTCCTTTCCACGAGTTCTCAACACCACTTTGAGTGATGTCAACGAGGAAACGAGACGCTCCCCGCTTTCAACTCGGTCGCCTCTCCCTTCGGAGAACAATATAAATGGTGAAAATGCACCTGAAGTGGCGCAAGAACACATACTTTTCTAGTTCTTCTCTGCTAGCACGAGGCAAACGGTTGATATTTTTCACTGCAGCTTGTCGAGCAGTCATTGATCCTAGCAGTGTCTCCATCCTATAGAAAAGCGTGTCAAAGCAGCACTTGAACTTTCTCGAAAAAAAAAGTAAATTGAGTACCTTCTATAGATATTGAATATCACGTGAAAAACAAGTACCGCGATGGTGGCCAATGTCCAATTCCCTGAATCGTCATTTCTTCAGAAACCGACTTACTTATCACTTTGTTGAATAATGGTATTCTATAATACCCATAGTTGAGCCGATACTGAAAGCGAACATACCAGATACAGTGAAGACGATTCCATACACCAGCACAATGAGTGCTATGGAGAGCTCGAAAACTTTCGTCACCATCCTGGTCCAGAACATGAGATCGTCGCTGTGCTCCCACGGCTCAGTTGACCGGGACTAAATGATTTAAAAGCTTAAGGTGATGGTTGGCACATTCTTACACATCGTGAGGAGGAAATTGAACACCAATCACCCGTGCGCCCATGCGCGTCACACTGCGCCATATACTTATTCCCACCACACCAACTTACCACCACACCCTCACACCTCCAACACTGGTGGTAACCACAACCACACCCCACACATAAACAATCAATCACACCACACACACACACCTCCTCCCGCCCAATGAAATTTTAAAAACAGAATGATGGAACACCTGGCCGCGAACGTAATCCCTTGGTTGGACAAGCATTTAACGTCCTTGACGAAAGTCCACCCACTTTGCTTCTGATCTGTAAAATCTGGTCCACGTTGCCTAGATTTTGGACACCAATTGCGATGTGTGCTTCAGGAGAGCAGGTGAAAATGTAAGCCAGTACAAGATTCAGAGTCTTCACATAATACAAGATTCCAGTACTGGTAGCTGGACCATGAACCTTCGCACTGAATTTCTACCAAAAAATGTTATCCTAGCGTTCTTGATGGAATTCTGCTGTTCGAAAGATAAAGGCAGCATCCCTTCTAGAGTGGAAATTTCTACAATCCCCACACTTCTGTCCAATATTTTAGACGTACCACAAATCAATCGGTAGAAAGGCTGTTATAGCACAAGCCATGGTGATTGGTGCCACAAATAGATGTGCAGCAAGTAGCAAGCATCGAATATGTCGGCCGCGAGATGCCGAAGGAGAAGCAGCCAGAGATAATAGCTGAGGCTCAAGCAGTTCGTATAACGACTGCAGTAGCGCCGACATCACTATAATATAAGAGCTGAATTTTGCAATAACAGTATCACTGGGAAATACTGAAGCCAGAATGAAAACTGAGAAAATAGGCAGTATATAAAATGGACCAACCAATAAACAGGACCAGCCCGAGCAGGAAAGCCTTTTGCTCCGTTTTCATACCAAGCAAGCCAGTCTGCAGGCATAACAGGACAAGTGTCAATGCCTCGGTATACCTAAGAGGTCTAATTCGAACATCTTTGTCATTCGAGTAAGATTTTTTTATACAATACATTAAATTTCAAAATAATTCGGGTAGCACCAACCCAGAATGAGCAAGCACATGACCGTGATCACGCCGTCCACCTATGACCAGTTGAGCACCATCGACAACCCATTTACATACGAACGAAACCGTTAATGCAAGAGCGAGTAAAGAAATGGGTGTGTTGGTACTCTCAGCAATACTAGCAAGTAATGCTGGACCTGCCTCTTGCCAAGTTCGTCCCTGAAAACGTTCTACCTGGAAATGCTGCCAAATGAGATAAACGACAATCACATACCTTCTCCCAAATCTCAACGTACATACGAATCACAAACATTGTCAGCCATGCACACGTCATCAGCTCAGCAATACGAAGACGGCGCCAGACAGTGACGAATCCTGTTTAAGGGTCGGATAATTTTGGAATCTCAGAATTTAGTCTAATTCTTTACATTCCTTTCGCAAAAAGGCAGCCCTCTACGGACTAAAAGTGGGATGGGAACAAAAATCTCAGGGAAGAAATCACTTCTTTGCGAATCCCTCAATGAATCCCTCGGGAAATAACTTCTACAGAATACAAATCCAATTTGGCGTATTCTCCAAATATCGCTTCTCAAAACACCAAAATGATGAAAATATCAAATGAAATATTACAAACAACTTACCACCGGCTAGTCCTCGTACAACAAATATAGCCTTGATTTGACGAAACGCTGTTCGCATGCCGTGAACCATGTCTGGCACACGATTCAAAACATATATACATATAAACAACATCACCAACGAACAAGCGACGTTGTGAGCTGGAAGTAATTGAAACGTCTAATGATAGCTACGCATATATTACAGAAAAAAGTAATAGTCGAAT